ACTATGAAGAGGGTAACTGGTTTTGTCTTACAGGAGATCCACACACACACGATGAGACGACTTGAATGACTTATGTTGACTTCACGTGCTATCGGAAATTTCCCACTCCTGTCGTGATTACGAGTTCATTGCGTTTTGTTGTCAGAAAGACCAGGAATTATGGAGGACACTAGGTTTATTCTTGCCTATTTATTGGGAAATATTATTAAAAATCTAAATTATATTCAATATTCCATTCATTGACAACCATAAACATTCACCATGCCATTTAGATAGCTTGCTAAAGTTTCTGGAATTTCTGTAAGATACAAGCCATTTTTTTCTGTGTATAAAACATTAAAATGATTATTCATATGTGTAAATATGCACTACTTCAACGACAAGACATGGTGATGTAGCTGTTGTGACAAAAAAACTAATATAGGCTACCAGTCACAGCAGAAATCGTTCTCCCTTCCGCCATGTTTAAAGTTTATAACACGTTCAACTCTGGAATCAAAATTATCCCCAAGCTTCCCAGTGGGAAATATGACTTGAGATGGCGTTCAGGTCGCATTTTTAATTAGGGAACTCGTATTTACAAGAATTGCACTAGCATGTGAACGCAGCATTAGAAACGACTTGACGGCGACTAAGGCCATGTCCACACGGACACGGGTATTTTTATAACCGGAGTTTTTCCTACAGCGTTTTAAAAAAAAATCCCGTCCACACATGCTCGGTCTCCGTCTACATGAAAACGTAAAAACACGCAATCAAGCGCAGTCAAGAGCATGCCATGCCAGCAGGCGGCGATATAAACCTTAACCCTAAAGCCACGTTGGCCAATCAGAAGCGCAAATCTGATGTCAAACACAGCTGATAACGGCGCACACTCTGACGTCGCAAGGCAAAAACCCCGGTTTCACTGTCTACACGACAACACTGTAACCGGCGTTTCTGAAAATCCTCACCCTGGCAGGGGTTTTCAAAAATGTTCGGTTTAAGTGCGTTTTCGTGTGGACGAACGGCCGAACCGCGTAAAAAAAGTCACGGTTATAAAAATACCCGTGTCCATGTGGACAGGGCCTAACATAACAGCGTTGCAGATGATCACTGAAGCCTACGGTAGGATATTCCCAGGTAAGAGAGTCTGTGTTCTCAGACGAGGACCATCAACTACTAGTGGTGTGTGTGCTTTATAGTCCTGGTGATGAGGGCTGATGAGTGGCAGGTGTGTGTGATCAGTACACGGGTACACTGGCGACTGTTAAGGCTGAATGAGTGAGGGAGAGCCTGGAGTGATCAGTGGTGGCTTAATTTTCCCCACAATCAACAAACATGCCTCTAAAAATAACACTCTCAAGAATATAGTGAATCTTTTCCAAACAACCTTTTTAAGTATAGGCTAAAGTTGTACAAATACATCAATATTAATTCACATTAGTGCTGTCAAATCGATTAATCGTGATTAATCACATCTAACATAAAAGTTTGTAATTAAATAATATATATGTATACATACAGTATTAATTCAATTTAAAATAATGGTTTTTCTATTTTTAATATACTTTAAAATATAATTTATTTCTGTGATGCAATGCTGAATTTTCAGGATTCATTGATGAATAAAACGTAAAAAAATAAAATAAAAAAAAACATTTATTCCAAATAGAGATCTAACAATATAAATCTTTACTATCACTTTTGATCAATTTAACACATCCTTGATAAATAAAAGTATTAATTTCTAAAAATACTGACCCAAACTTTTGAACGGTAGTTGTTATTATGTATACATTATATTGCATACTGTTATTGTTATTGTATATATATATATATATATATATATATATATATATATATATATATATATATATATATATATATATATATACTTTCATGTTAGATGCAATTAATCGTGATTAATTGATTTGACAGTACTAATTCATATAAATTCATTTGTTTGTCTTGAAGTTTGTCTTTATGGTACATAATATACCAGGCCCAGCTATGGAATTAGCATTAGCAAGACAAAATGAGTCAGCAGTTTTATATCAAATACCACAGGATATTATGTGGAGATGACATTTGTTAATTTATTGAAAAGAAATTCTCATGCGATGACATTGTTACCAGACAAATGAAAAAAACAAAAACTTCATAAACACAACAGATATTTGCATGTGTCGCGTGCTGTTTATAATAACAATCGCAATCCCTCATTTTAAATGATAAATGATAAAGGAGATACAAACATTTGAATGGACTTGAAGTGGAACGGATGGATACAGGACAATCTGTTTGTCCTTATCTGACATGGTAAAAAGATGAGTATGCCTCTGTGTTTAGCTTTCTTGCTTATGTTTATAAATAATCATAAAGTAGGAACAGCTGCTCAAAACTCACTTGCCCAAACCTCATAAATATTTCTGCCCACTCAAGAGTATTTAATGCACTATCAATGTAATGAAAGTTGCAGATGAGTTTTACAAACTGCTGAGAGCAAGATCCTCATGTTGATTATCTAGTTTCCTACCCAGAGTTGACACTTGCAACCAACACTTGTGTATGCAAAACATTCATGAATTTGGGAAATGTATGACTTCAGCTGTTGAAATCGTATGAGGCAAGTAGTAAACAAGCACACCATGTCTACAGTGAGAATACAATAATTCTTGATATCCCACATGATACGGCATAATCCCTAGTTAATGATGTATTTGATCAAATAATCCTTTTTGATAAACAGTATGCCTGCCTTTAATTCCAGCCTTTCTTTTCCCAAATGAATATTGTATAATCCATGCGATCAACAGCCTGGGGAGTCCAGCTGAGTCCAGCTTGATTTGATCTTAAGACAGCTTTGTGATAAAATATCACAAGGATTTACCTTAGAGACAGATTGGAGCGTGAGCTTTATCAGATCACGCTCGGACATGTTAGAAAGTTCAAGGGACAAAGGATGGACAGTTTGAGGTCAAGCCTAAAAAATATGATTAATATTGAGGGCAGCTCTTTGAACGTGAGCTTAACAATGCCAGAATCTTTTTTTAACCCTTTAAGTTACCACAGCCATTACATATTTAAAACAGTAATATACTATACTAAACCTAAACTAATATTGACAAACTATATATTATTTGAAAGCTTACAATCTGTAGTTTCCATATTTGGTGATTGATACAGAAGAGCCGTAATCTATCAATTTGCAACAAGAATATTTTCATACTCCTAAGGCGTGTTAAGACCTTTATTTTGAAATAATGATGAACATGAAAATCATGAAAGAATGGTAGAAACCTCAGTTTGTTTTCATGCCAATAGTTCAAAAGATAACATCCATTCATTTTTTTTTTTTTGAAAAAATGTTTTAAATATAAAGAAAAAAATTATAGATTCACCATTTGTGATGTGGATATACCGAGCTATAACACACATACGTGTTCTTTTTATGTGATTATTGAGGTTCAATTCATATCAAAATATGCCAAACTTCCCTTACTACTTCTGAATAGGGTGCCTACTTCATAAATTGTATGAAAATAATGGTTCAGATCACTCAAAACACATATGGAAATGGAGGTGCCCTTATATGGGCAGTAATGGAGTCTGGTTGTGACCCAGTGAAAAAGTTTGGTACTGCGCCCAAACAAAATCTTACTGAAAGCTAATTTTTTGAGATATCAACCTAAAATTTGAAACACAACTTGTTCAGAGTTTTGGCTTTGATTTTCTTGCAGTTTTAGAGTCCACCAGGTTTTGAAAAAATATATTTTATATCAAATATGAATAATAAAATTTGTACATTTGACATTTTCATAAACTCAAACTTCTATAACTTTTTTTTCTGTGTCACTTTCTTAATTTATTTAACTTCTTTAAATCTGCCAAATGTCTTCTTTAAAACAAGACCAATCTTATATCTATTTTCCAAAGCAATCTTGAATTACAACCATTTAAGTTCGGATTGTGCATTTTCATGTTTATTCTAAAAATGGGGCGCGACACTAATACATCTGATAGGGTGAAAGATTCAGCCATCATGGGAATGCAATTCAATTTCAAAGCATTATTTTGCCATTTACTGATATATGACAACCTACAAGTTATTAAACATAATATGTTTTCTTTCTACAGTAAATTTAAAGGAAATTATATTTTTTTAAGATATAAGTATTTTAGTAACATATAAAATGTCCATCCATTTGTATTCCACAGTCAGTCATACATAAATGAAGCAAATAAGAATGCTATTTAATTTATTTATAAGTACTAAACGAAATAAGTTTTTATACATTTTTACAGGTTTATATATTTTTCATCAATAAATCCATTTAATTAAATGTAAACCAATCTCATAGATATTTTAACTAATTGAATCTTCTAACTAACTGATCATTCTCATATCTTTTAACTGATTTTTACAATTCTGTATTCACAAATAACAGATTTCTAAGCCATTTGAATAAATACATTTACATATTAATTAAATAGGTAAATAAGATTATTTAAATAAAATCATATATATATATATATATATATATATATATATCAATACTTTATACCATGATTCATTCTTTATCAAACATTAAGTGTGTGTGTGATAAATATATATATATATATATATATATATATATATATATGGATTTTTCTTTTTTACTGAGTCATCAGCCTTTAAATATTATTTGTATAAATTTTCTTACTTTTCCTTTTAAATAATGCACAGTTTTAACCAAAGACAAACCAAAAATCCATATTTTAATTATTTCAATACACTGAGTGAAGCCACAAGCCACAATTTTTTATTTAGTTTCAAAAATCCTTTTATCAGTTCTGGGAAGCAATATTACATGTGAAACCACAGGCCATTGTCTGGACATTTACTTTTACATTTACCAGCATTTGAAGTAGTCTCATGTGAAATTAGCATAGGCTGTAATGACAGCGTTAGATGACTGAGTGAGAGCCACTGTAACTGGATATCCTTCAACCAACACAGTATATAACTCACTTCATACGAGAGAGAGCAAGACCACAGCGCACAACTGCTCAGCAGACACATCATCTAGGTAGGAAATGTTCCTTCTCTTTATGTCATAATAAACAAGTAGTTTGTAATGTATGTGATATAAAATATATGACTTTATTTATTTTAACTTATTGATTCATGATTATAAGTATTTAATTACAATTACAAATTATGCCTTTTTTATTCAATTTAATTACAATACCAGTGCATGACTGGGTTCTAGTCTTATGCCAAACAAACGTTTAATAATAATATTTTTTTGGCTATCAACTCTAATTTTACAAATATTTTTCACCTTTTGATTTTTCAGTGACTTTCTTTTTTCTAATTGTTGCTGGCACTATCTTTTGTCTTTTGTTTCTCATTAATGAATAACTTTTAACGAGTCTAGATAATGGGTCAATTATGGAGAACTACAATGTGCATTTCTCTGCAAATTCTTAGAAGACTATAAAAATGATTTGATGGCAACAAAAACAAAAGAAAACAATTTGCATCTCAGCACACCTGTGCGACGGGCCGTATTCCAAGAGCAGACTGTTGCGTTTACAGGAGCCCGGGTCTATCTCATTTAGCAGTGTTTGCTCACTGCTTGGCAACCATCTTCAGTGCTTCATCTTGAAAATAAAAAGACTTCCTGTATTCACTGTGTCTGCTGCAAATTACACAGGCAGTAATGCATCAATTAGTGCACTTATCTGGCAGAGGATAGAATGTGTTTTCCTTGAAAATTAGATGTTCTATTCCAAAGTTCCCGAATTGGGCCGTTTTCCAAGAATAATCTCACACAAAAGATGCACACTACACTACCTGGATCTAAATTTAAAAGCATGTGGATGTTGTCAGCGTGTGTTCGGATCTTCAGTAATTTGACCTCAGTGAACAACTTTAAACAGTAGTCGAAATGGAATAAAGCTTTTTCTGTAGTTCAATCAGACAGGCTGTTGTTTGGTGGATTTGATTTTCCTGCTTAACAGCTCCGGTACACCCATCACTGACTGATTCTCAGCATTGTGGTTATCTTAGGTGAAACATGACATCGGCTTATTCTTCATGTTAATTGTGATTGCTAACTCACTCACTTTTGTGATTACTCACATATCGTGTTGGAAAATCATTTTAGTAAATCGATTTTATTTGAATGGGCTATTTTAAAGCTGCAGTCCGTAGTTCTCTTACGAGAGGTTCTCTCGTATTGCGTAAGTTTAGCTTACGCTACGGGAAAGATTCATCTTCTCGAGATATTGAAGCCAAAAAAAAAAAATCCTTTATTTTGTATTCATTGTCAACGCAGTGCAGCTAGCAGACCTAGAGCAGGCCATCTCGCGTGCTCATTGGCTGCCCTGCTGGCATCTGCTGCAGCCTACCAGTGAGCCCCGCGTGACGTCACGCCCAATGAAGGGCGCTCGCGCCTTCATAGCGTCACAGCCCGCCAGAATGGGCGTGGCTTAGCGTATAAAAGAAGGGGCTGTAGGCTGACTTCCCTGATTTTTCGACTCTTCAGCGAGCTCTCCGCATCGCTGGATCAGAGAGAAGCCACCGCCGCTGTCGAACAGCGAACAGCCAGCTAAGGACAGCGCTGAGGAAGCCGGCCGTCTTCGACACCTTCAGCCATCCGTGCGAGCTACGCTATCCGGCGACGTATCCTTTTACTCTGTTGTATTCTCTTCTAGCTTCTCCTAAAAGAGCGCGAGTGTCTTTTTAAAGATGCCTCGCATTTCCTGCGGCTCGTGTAGGGCCCCGGAGACAGCCGGAACCTGTGGCCAATGCGAAGCGCTCGCCGGAGAACCTCCCTCGAGCCTTGCTCTCGCCTTCCCCCCCTCTCTTCACCGACGCGCAGCTGCCGCTCACGAGCCTCACTGCCGTCGCGTCTGAGGATGAGGTTGAGGGACACGCCACAAGGGACTGCTGTTCTAACCGCGGCTAGCTTCCTTTACGTTACAAGGAAGCTATCGCGCCCCCCATAGAAGCAGTCACTCCGCCCTTTGTGGGACCACGCAGTGATAAGCACCGTTCCCAAAAGGCAGCCGGAGCCTGTAGCCACAGCGACGCGCTCGCCGGAAAGCCTCCCTCGAGCCTCGCTTTTTCACCTTCCCTGCCTCCCTTCACCGACGCGCAGCTGCCGCTCACGAGCCTCACTGCCGTCGCGTCTGAGGATGAGGTCGAGGGACACGCTATGGACTGCTGTTCTAACCGCGACTAGCTTCCTTTACGTTCCAAGGAAGCTACCGCGCCGCGCGCGCTCTTAGTTATCTGCTCGCGCTATTTAAGCTTTCGTAGTTTCCCCCGTGGCTCAGTGGCTAAACTCTAAGCTTTCGCGCCAGAGACCCGTGTTCGATCCCGGCTCTCGCAGCAGAAAAAATTTATGCAGCTCTCCTCTCTGAGCTCGCGACCAGCTTTCTTACGTACAGAAAGCGAGCGCGCGCCCCCGAGCGCATGCGTCACCGGCGAAAGAAGGAGAGAGTGTGGTTTTTTTGTCCCGCCGAGGCCTGACAAACCCCCTCTTTTTCTCAAACATTTTCCAGCTCCTCCTAGTTCGAGCGGCTGGTAATGTCTATACTGCAGTAGAGAGCCTGTTATAACACGCACTCCTGCAGACAATGCCGACACGCACACGAAAACTGTGATGACGCTCTCTCTCTTATCTGCTCGCGCCAACTAAAGCTTATGTTGTTTCCCCTGTGGCTCAGTGGCTAAACCTTAAGCTTTCGCCCTAGAGACCCGTGTTCGATTCTGGCTCCCGCAGCAGATAAAATTTATGCGGCTCTCCTCAGCGAGCCGCCGTATTCAAGTTTATTTCCCTGTCAGTCCCCTTCAAACAGGCTACTGCAGTGGTCCATTTAGCAGCCAACGAGCCGGTTCATTTGCCCTCTCGCCTGCACACATACGCCGTTTTGACGGCGACCCAGAGAAAATCTCAAAGGAGTATAATGTCTGGTCCGGCTCACGCCGTTGGTGTTTTAAGTGTAGTGAAAGTGCCCACGCCCCAGTGTTCACCCCTGCACACAAGCACATGTCTGTCTGTCAGCGCATCGTGTCTTGAGTTTAGACCGAATTACTCTGAAGTCATCCTCAGACCTAGACATGGCTACGTTCCCAAAGTGATGGGCACTCCGTTCAGAGCGCAAGTTATCTCGTTGTCAGCTCTGCCAGCATCTGACAGCGAAAGTGATGTCAGAGCGCTGAGGTTTTACATTACGCGCTCCGCCTCATTCAGGCGTTCAGAACAGCTGTTTGTTTCGTTCGGTGGGCGCACCAAGGGTCTCGCCTCCTCGAAACAGAGCCTGTCCAGATGGATAGTGGACGCTATAGCAGCCGCTTACGCTTCAAAAGGTCTGCAATGCCCTCTGGGCATCAGGGCTCATTCCACGAGAGGCGTGGCCTCTTCGTGGGCATGGTCCAGTGGAATTTCTATCCATGACATATGTGTAGCGGCGGGCTGGAGCTCCCCCTTGCAGGCTAAACTGTTGTCAGTTTAAAGGAGAGGTGTATTCTGCCCAGACCTCCTGCTCAGATCACTCTCACATGACTCAGCTCTCCTGGTTGAGCTGCACTAAGTAGGGTATGTGCCATGTGCCTATACAGACCGGCGCGCTGCTCTGTATTCCCTATGTGTGCTTATGTACAAGTGATGGCCCGCGTGGCTGGCCACCTTATTCTCCACCTTATAGGATTCCCCTGAAAGTTCGGGGTCTCATGGTGGATGCTTGGCGCGCATGGCGTTGACAAAGTGTTCCCGTAGCGTAAGCTAAACTTACGCAATACGAGAGAACCTCTCGTAAGAGAACGATACTCGGTTACTAACGTAACCTCGGTTCTCTCTCGAGAGGGAACGAGTATTGCGTAACCGGCCGTGCTCGCGCCACGAGCGACTTCGCTTCAGTCGTCGAAAAACCAGGGAAGTCAGCCTACAGCCCCTTCTTTTATACGCTAAGCCACGCCCATTCTGGCGGGCTGTGACGCTATGAAGGCGCGAGCGCCCTTCATTGGGCGTGACGTCACGCGGGGCTCACTGGTAGGCTGCAGCAGATGCCAGCAGGGCAGCCAATGAGCACGCGAGATGGCCTGCTCTAGGTCTGCTAGCTGCTGCACTGTGTTGACAATGAATACAAAATTAAGGATAGTTTTTTTTTTGGCTTCAATATCTCGAGAAGATGAATCTTTCCCGTAGCGTAAGCTAAACTTACGCAATACTCGTTCCCTCTCTAGAGAGAACCGAGGTTACGTTAGTAACCGAGTATCATTATTTTTTGGGTTAAAAATTATCCAAAATACATATTTGATAAAATACATAACCAGCCCGTGTTCAAAACTATCTGCTTGCCTTAGCTCGATTCAAAGCGGTAAGCTTGTAATAATGTTTTTAATTCCAGTGGTACTGGTGGATTTCCGCGGGAGATTCGAGCATGTCTTTGTGTCATTACGTCACATCTGTACACATAAAGAAGGAGTCTCGGCTAGTACAAGCTATATTGTGTGTGAGGATGTTGGAGGTGGAGATTTATAGCCTTTTCTCACAGAACTTGATATAATTAAACTTATCAATTTGATGGCGGATCCAGAAAGGTTTAAACGACAATCACCATTGACAACAGATTCACCCATTGTAAAACGCAAAAGACTTCGTTCGGACTTCGGAGTGGCTACAGAAAAAAAGAGACTGCAACCGGACTCATGCGAAAACAAGGATACATATCGGAAGGACGTTACATGTAGTCACGCAATGCTGACGTTGTTAACATTAACAATTTGAGAACAAAGTATAATTTGCACGGTTTCGCGTGATATGATAAGCAATTTTTAGATTTAATCAGCGCGATTTACTGCAATGTCAGAACCGGAACAAAAGTGGATATTACTTACTTGTTCAGATGACATTTTCCGGTGAAAATTATTATGTTGGTCATACTTCCAAAAAGAATAATCTGTGATTCTGAATGCCAGTATCCACACCGCATGGTGATTGACAGCTGCACACTCTCCTCAAACATTGTGTTCATCCGCGCTGTGCCGTGTCGAAGTACAACTTACGTAAAGTTG